TATTATTCTTGTCATTATTCTTGTTATTGTTATTTAATCAATTTGAGCCATAAATATTTCTAATGTGTTTATTCTTTATAGTTTCATGTTTTTTATTATATAAAACAAATATTTCAACGTTGAAATCATTAAGAAATTTGCTTATAAAAATTTTTATAGGTGTAGTAACACTCATCGACATAAGGGAGAAGTCATTCCCTTAATCGAGCCAACAACATCAATTAGAGGAGAAGAGTAAGGAAGAATTCATTCCCCCATCTAAGCCAACTCAACATCAATTGAAGGAAAAGAGTAAGGGAGAAAAAATTCCACCCCTAAGCCAACTCGGCATTAAGTGGAGGAGAAAAATAAGGGAGAAATTATTCCCCTCTCTTAGTTAACTCAACCTCAAGTGGAGAAGGAGGCTAGAATAAAGCATGGGGAACATAAAACCATTGCAAGCGATGTAAAACATAGAGAAGATAGGAGGCAATTGGTGGTGAGGACTCCATTCACAGAATCGCCAGTACATAAAAGAAACAAGAATAAGAAAGTTAAGAGAGCAAGAAACTACACCTGATATGCAAAATATTAATAAAGTGTGGTCTACATACATTAAAATTTTACTTAAAATCCTTCAATTATCTTCATTTTTTATAACAATTGCTTCATTATTATGATAGTAACCAAGAACAAAAAAAAAATCAGAAAAGCTAGGAGAGAAAGTGGGCTTGGAAGAAGAAAAGAAAAAGGTAATAAATATTTCACTATAAATATCTAATTATTATGAACTTCACTCTAAATAAATTTTGTATTAACTTGCAGCCATAACAAGCTATTAAAGAGCATCCCAAGAAGAAAGAATCATTGCAACATGATCTTGAAGAGAAGTAGAATAAGCCGTAAGCAGTGCAACGGGCTGCTGAAGAGCAATCCAAGAAAATTTTAGTGGCCTATTTTGATGAAGCTTGATAAGTCATGTTTTATAAGAATTAGATGTTGATGTTTTATATTGCATAAGTTGATGTTTTCTTATTTCTTAAAAGTATTAACAATTCAAAATGTCAATTAGACAAGGCCTACTCAATTAAAGTTCAATTTCCTGTCAGAGATCTAATTCCACAACATTGGGTTTACTTACTTGATAGAAGTTCTAAACGCTTTGTCGATCTGTAATGATAATATGTTTGTTCAAATTTTACAATTTATATTTTTCAGTTTGTTGACTCTGAAAAATAATTATCAATCTCTTATCTTAAATGCAGAGATATATCATTTTTTTAAGATGCAATGTCCATTTGGGCAAAAAGGATATAGATGAAGCGCTAGAAAACCAATATTTGAGCGACGCTCATGTGAATGCATTTGTAAAAATGTTGAGCGAAGGTGGTAAAACTCTTTATGGCCTGTATGAACCCTTTATTTATGTTTCCAGCAAGCATTTAGTAAATATCAAATTCACATTTTACTATAAAGATATGTCTATTTTAATTAAAAATTCTAATTTATTTGGATCTTATTTCTTTACAGTGTCATGGTAAATTAGGAAAATATGAGAAAGAAAGTAAAGCTTTTGTCCAACACATAAATAAGGCTAAGGTGGCAAATTGTAAATATGTTATTCTATTCATTGTGGACAAACAATAGTGGACATTTTTGGTTGGCTTTTTGGCTAAAAAATGTCTATTTTTTTATTCATTGTCCAATCTTCTGCACTTTGTGATGACTCACAAGCGGTAAGTTTGTAATTATGATTTACTCAAAATTTTCATATTAAACAAATTTGAATTTCTTAATCTTGTTTAACTTAATAGAGCATACTTCTGAATAAAGATGTTGGTGATGCATTCAACTTTCCTTTCATAGAATGACCCATGCATGAGGTTGAAGACAACCCACACCAAGATAGCAGTATTGATTGTGGGATGTATGTTTGTAAATATATAGAGGTCATCGTTTCCAATCCATATATAAAATTAAGGGACCAGAAGGACTGGGACAAAAAATGCCCATATTCAGAACCAATTTTTTTTCACAGGATACACTTTGATACAATCAAGTAGCTTCATACGTAATATCATTCTTTTCTAATGTAAATTTGGATAGCTCATTTTTTTGTTATGTATTTTTACATTATATATTGTGATGCAATCAAAGAGCTTGATATGTAATATCATTCATTTATATTGTAAATTTGTGTACTGTTATTCCTTCATTCTTTTAGTCTACAAATTTCAATATGGTTGTACTGAAATAAATTTCCTAATGAAACTTTTATATGCAATACCAAATTTATGTGGGGTCACTTCAGTAAAACCATGTTGTATCGATTGTATCGAAGCTATACCAAATTTATAAAGGTTGTTTGGTAGCTCATTACAATCGATAAAACACGATTGTACTGAGCAAATTTGAGTCTCCTGTTATTAACCCCGTTGTTTATATTAGTATTACTAATTACCTTTGGTTTACAAGAAGGTAAATAAATGATGTAAATTCATTAACGGGATATATACAACTCAGTGAAACTGATATGACATGGTTGTACTGGGATAAATTTCCAAATGATACTTTTGTATGCACAACTAAATTTATGTGCAATCTCTTCGATATAATTGTGTTGCATCGGTTGTACCGAAGCTATATCAAACTTTATAAAGGCGGGTTAGTAGCTCAGTACAATCGATACAAGGTTGTACTAAGCAAATTTGAGTCTCCTGTTATTGATCTCATTGTTTATGTTAGTACTATTATTTACCTTTGATTTACAGAAAGGTAAGGAAATAATGTAAATTCATTAAGGGGGATGTATAACTCAGTATAACCGATACAACAGTTGTACTGAGATAAATTTTCTAATGATAATTAAGCTTGATCGGTCGTCTCGACCCTATCGTCAAATAATCTAGGTTTGATTAACCGCACCGGTTTGATCACCCGTATTAGGTCTGATTGGTCGTCTCGACCCGTTCGCCATTTTTTTGGGCCTAATCGCCCAATCTTTTGGGTTCAATCGACCACCTCGCGTCGATCACCCGCTTTAGGTCTGATCGGTCTTCTCGGCCTGATCAACCTGTTTTTTGGCTTGATCAGCTGCCCTGGCCCATCACTCGATCATTTGGGTCTGCTTGACCGCACCAATCAATCGCCCACTTTAAGTCCAATTAGCCATCTTGGCCCAGTTAACCATTTTCTGGGCTCGATCGACCGCCCCAGTTCGATCACCCAATCTGAGTGCGATCGGCATCACTCGATCCTTTGGATTTGATAGACCTCCCTAAATCGATCACCCATATTATTCTCTATCTTTTTATATTACATATAACTTGTCAATTATAAGATAAGAAGTTATAATTAGGGGAGATTGGATGTAATTGAGGGCCTACTATCTCAACTATTGAGAAACATTTGAGAATACATTTTGTTGTTATATTTGATAAAAGCGTAACGTTAGATGCTTGAAGTTGTGGAGAAAGTTTTAACCATCTAGAAAGCCTTTGAATAAACTTCCAAATTGGTTTCTTGTTTAGCCTTAGGTAGTAAGGGTGACTCATCCAAGCCCTTTAGGAGGACAGCTTGGTGTTTTCTTAGATAACTAGTAAGATGTCAGAGATATCAAAACTGCATATGATAAACTAAAGATGAGAAAAGAGACTAGACCTTTTGAGATAATGATAATAAAGATAGGATCCAATACATTAGTTGAACTTATAAGGTAGAAGGACCAAAACTCTTCAAGAGCTAGTCCATGAAGTGCAAGATTCCACCAAGATCTTCAATGGGGTGAAAGTGCAAAAATTGAGTTGCCAATGAAGCCTATGGGCATTGACTTCACAAATCTTAACACAACATGCTTAAAGGATGGCTAGCCACTCTTCAAGATTGATACGTACTTTTTTTACAAAGTGCACAACAAGTGATGGAAACGTTCAACTATTTCTTATGCTTACAATTTGCGGAGGCACCTTAATTCTACCGATAAAAATGTACATTTATTTTTATTATTTTGATTTCATGTAAGTATCATATTATGTTATGCCTTCAAAATCATATAATTACTTGATCGTAATATTTCAATCATTTGAAAATTAAAAAAAAAAAGATAATAAAAAAAATTATGAAATAATTTATTTAATAAAAAAATAATTTTAAAAAATTTTGAATTGTCACCCGCACGTTTATTTTTTTATATGTAACATGCATAAAATAATTTATAAACATTTGCATTAGCTTTATATACATTGGCATATTTTTAAAATTAAATATAAGGCACTCATATAATGATTGCACTAAAAATGTCAACCATTCACATAAATAATAGAGAAATGACATTCTCTAATAATCTGTTTGGGGAGGATATGGCTCTTTTTATAATACATAGGAA